AGTTTTATCCGGTTTGGGCGTGGTGACACCACAGGACGCTTATTCACCGAAACTCCTCCATCAAGACGCAAACCGAGAGGAAGAAAACCGATTAAATCAAAGCAAGATGATGGTTGTATTTGATTGCAGCAGAAAAGAGTTGCACACAATCAATATAAAGCATAGTCTGGGATGATTAACCGTTTTTTCCTTACGCTTTCGTTTGAAAAACGATGGCTCAATTTAACGTGCACCTGAGGCCACGTGATATAGAACCGTTATTGAACGCCTAACAAAGCAGAGCGTCTATCTGATCGCATCATGGCGCATCACCCGATTTGGTTGAACCACGGATTGACAAGGACCGGGGTGACGGTAATTACGAACCATCTGACTGAGTCACACAGTCAATGTGCTGGGGGCTTTCCGTCCTCTGTACACGGTCAAGGGTAGGTTATCCAAAGAGGTCAAGTTCAGAACTTTGTCAACAGCCGAGGCGATTACAATCCGTCTCCACAACCCCTGTCCCTGTATGCGCCCAGAAACAGTTTGTAAGAACATTGGTCTTACCATGGTCATCCACCAACAATCTGGTGAAGTAACCTCCGTTTATGATCAACCACTCATTCACCTACCCAATCATTCACAAGCACTCTCACTTCCACGCACACACGCACACACAGACACACACTCACGAACATCAATTATCACAAGTCCATCATCTCTCAAATTCGTTCAAATACTGCGCAGCAGCTAGGATTTTAATTTAATCGAAAACTTTTTCATGTATCAGAAACAGGGATAAGTCAGCTGCTTCGACATTGGCCGTCAATGGTTAAGGTGCGAGGTGTATTACAAGAAACTGGCAAATTCTGTTTGGCAGTCAACTTGGTGGACTCCATGCTAACCTGACTACCTCCAGTGCTCAAAAATGAAGAAGGACAAATGGAACATGGACGAGATGAAAGTACAATAACTGCACGAAGTCTGAGTCATTTTAATAAATAAATTTTAGTTACATCTACGGTGACTTTACGATTTCACAACTGATGCACCAGCAACCATCGTCAAATTTGCTAAATCGTACAGTTTAATGGCATGTGGCTAACTGAAGCGAAGACATAAGTGGGTATTATATCAGACATGTTGCGTCTGATAGGGGGGGAGGGGCAAAATCACATTCAATCCCGTGAATGAGCCTGGAAAAACGAAACATTGAGAGGATGATAAGGATGATGAAAATCAGGATGATGCATGCGTTTGGTCAAAATCCGTATAATAAATATAATGAAACTCCATTTGATCATAAAGAACATTTCAGTGCACCACAATCGACCACTACTGTATATATATATATATATATATATATATATATATACCACGCCTGATCTATCGAAGTGTTATTTGGTCCGCCATTCCAGGTTCCAGGATCATGGGTGCCGGTTTTACCTCACAACATAGACATGAATATACAAAATCACGAACGCTCACGTACTCCGGCTCGCTCTACGCACTCAGATGGTAAACAAGCACTCATCACACTCACCAACATTCACGGACCGAACCGCAATATTGATTCGAAGATGGAATATAAAGGGCGATTTACCAAGTATTGCCTATTTGTTCAGCTTTCTGTTTTGCGCTTTCAAGTATTGTTTCTTTCAGGGTTCACTGTTTTGCGCTCGCTGGCACACACCACTGAAATATGCCTCTTGCATATTCTCTATTTCCAGAGCACGTTCTGCCAATAAAGAAAACGATATCAGCAAAGCTCAATGTTGTTCAACTTTGAAGCTGCTCATTACCTCCGGACATGTTCGCCTATATACATGGCAGACAGGTCATGCTGCCGATCAATGGGGCCCCGACGACGATTGGGTTCTAGATTTACTGGCACAGGAACAGGCGCTACAACAAAGTCAGTGCAACGAGGCGGAGGTGATCTTGTCCTTAGATGTACCGCAGTCGATAGATTCAGATACGAATGAGGTACGTTTAATGTTTGAGACTCAGTTCAGTTCAGTCCCTACAACCATTAACCATGCACTTTCGTGCGCCGGTTTTGGTTGCCGTCTTTTGGTCGCCCATTTGGATGAAAGAGCAGAGTGCAAATGGGAATGTTGAAAGCAAACTCAAGCAAAAGATGGAGAATTCAGATACACCGGTGTTAAGAGAATAAGGAGTAGATGCATGAGCCCCACTGTTTGCGACACCCAGCCATATCACTCTAACCATCGGTGACCAAGATCTCGGGGTCCACAGCCAGGGAACCTAACGGGACCTATGTGACCCAGTCTTCTGATTAGGGTTTTCATACCCTCATGTCAGGTCTTCGTTTGATCGCCCTTGACCTTTTGCCAATCGCTACCTGCCTCGGCAAACATCGCTTACCGTGACAACCTGTCTAGTGACATGCGTAACACATGCCCCAACCAACTTAAACTATGAAATTGGACTACTTGCTCCAGTGGAGGACCGTGACGACCGAAAACTCTACGCCTGACCTCAGCGTTGCTTGTCTGGTTGCCCTACCAGAATCATGCGATGCGACGAGTGGTAGGCGACTCTGCCGTCGCCTGGCTCACTACCACGCCTGATCTATTGGAGCCTTATGTGGTCCGCCACTCCAAGTTTCAGGATCATGATTTCCGGTTTCCTCACAACACAAACATGACAATACAAAATCACAAACGCTCACGTACTCCCGCTCGCTCTACGCACTCACACTGGAAACGCACTTATCACCCTCACCAACATTCGCGGACTGAGTCGCAATATTGATTCTGTACACCATTTTCTCCATTCTTCTGCTCCGCTCGCCCTGTTCTTGACCGAAACACAAATCTCCCCCTCGTCAGACACTACCCACCTTCAATTCCCTAACTACATTCTCCATTCCTCCTTTCTCCCCAAAGCTGGTGTCTGCGCCTTTATTCACCAATGAGTCGCCGCCTCCAGGATCCCAAATCTTGACTTTTCCAATCGTGAATTTCAGCTGTTGTGGCTGAAACTCCGACTTCCTTCCTTTAATCATTACTTTTGTGTTCTTTATCGTTCCCCCAATAGCGGCGATTCTACCGTCTTTTATTTTCTATCTTCGAACGTTGAAGATTTGTTTGCAACCGACCCCAACTTTCATGTTACCATCTTGGGAGATTTTAACGTTCACAATCAGGACTGGTTGACACACTCATCTGCCACTTCTCCTTTGGGGTGCGAAGCCGAACACTTCGCCTTGGTCAACAACCTGAGCCAACTAGTTGACCTCCCCACTCTTATCCCTGATCGAGCTAGTGATCGTGCCCACACCCTCGATCTAATTCTCACTTCGGCCCCTTCTTTCTTCACAGATATTCGTACCCTCCCTCCTCTTGGCTCACCAGATCACTGGATTGTTTCCTGCTCAATTATACTTTCCAACTCTGAACGACCACCCACCTCAAAACTCACATTCTGGCGCAAAAACAACTCACCCAACTGGGACGGTTTCCGTGATTTCCTAGCTGCTTATCCCTGGAACGATTGATGTTTCTCTTCGGATGTTTCCAAATCCGTTTCCAACTTCACCCACGTTGTTCTTCAAGGAATGCATCATTTTATTCCACACTTTTCCAAACCCGGCTAACCCAAATCCCCTGAGTGGTTTAACCACGCATGTGACCGTGCTGTACGCCTGAAACGTTCAGCCTTCCGCCGCTGGCGTCGCTCGCCCACTACTCTCTCCCACCATCGCTTCGTGCAAGCTAGGAACAGATGCTCGATGACCATTCAGAGAACGAAAGAACGCTTCGTTCGCTGTAAACCCGAAAACTTGGTCTCGTCCGCCACCGGTAGCCGAACATTTTGGTCCCTTGCCAAAGCAATTTCCCGTAATTTCTGCCCTTCCAACTTCCCCCCTCTGGCGATCTTGTATGTCAACCAAACGAGAAAGCTAAGGTTTCTGCTTCCCAGTTTGCCGCCAATTCCACCTTACCCCATTTTACTACACCTCCACATTCTTCCTTCTTCACTGGCAACCCTCTTATACCTCATATCAGTACTAGGAAAATCCGTCGAAGATTACGCTCTCTAAACACAAACAAACCACCCGGTCCAGACGGTGTTCCACCCATCGTCCTCAAAATATGTGCTCCCGAGCTGGCTTCTGTTTTTACGTCATCTTTTCCGTCTTTCCCTCCAACTTTCTTCCTTTTCAACTCCCTGGAAACATGCCGTGATTTTTCACATTCCCAAACGCGGCGACCTTTCTAACCACAACAATTACCGACCCATTTCCCTCACATCTGTTCTTTGTAAAGTACTTGAAACTATCATCTCTGACCAGCTATGCACGTTCCTTGAACGTGACGGACTACTGAGCGACCGACAGTATGGCTTTCTACCGCGTCGTTTCAGCGATGACCTGCTGGGTTTTGTCTCACAATCCTGTTCAGCTTCACTGGATAACAACGGAGAAACGCACTTGGTCTCGCTTGACATCTCAAAGGCCTACGACCAATTTTGGCAGGAATGTCTACTGGCGAAACTACCCATGTTCGGGTTCCCTCCAGCGCTCGTAGCGTGGATATCAAGTTTCCTCAGTAAGCGAACCATCTCCGTCCGAATTGATGGGGTTCTATCTCAGCCATTCCCTGTGAACGCTACTGTTCCCCAATGTTCAGTACTTGCGCCCACCCTCTTCCTTCAATTTATCAACGGTCTCCTTTCCCAAACTTCCAACCCGATCCATTCTTTTGCTGATGACGCCACCCTCCACTTCTCCCTCCTACCGCACCGCTCGCCATGCCCAAAACAACATCGATGGTGACTGTAATGCAGTTAATGTCTCACTGGACTCCGATCTCGAACACATCTCCTCTTGGGGCATTGCAAACCACGTTTCGTTCCACAGATTGTGTTTTTCTTCTTGGATTGTCTATAACTTCTTTATGCTAGTACCCTTTTATAGCTAAGCTTGCTTCTCGCGCTGCACGCACGGTTGGATTTCTATTTCGCGCCAGACGTTTCTTCACCCCAGCTCATCTTCTACTGTACAAAGCTCAAATCCGCCTTGCTCTTGAATACTGTAGTCACGTGTGGGGTGGGGCTTCATCCTCTTCCCTTTCCCTTCTTGATCGTGTTCAACGAAAAGCCATCCGGCTAATCGATGATCCTTCCCTAACATCCAGTCTACAGTCGCTAGCTCATCGTCAGGCAGTTGCTTCGTTGTCCCTCTTCTACCGTTACTACTTTGGGTTTTGTTCTTCGAAACTCGCCTCGGCAGTTCCTCTTCCTGCAACTTTTACCCGTCCATCCCGTATACAAGCATCTAGTCATCCTTATCAGGTTTCTGTTCCCATATGTCTTACCTCGCTACTCCAATCTTCTTTTTCCCCCAGAACTGCCAAACTGTGGAACACCCTCTCCCTTGTTGTTCCCCCCCTCCAACTTACAATCTCACACTTTTTAAGCGCATAATCAATAAACTAGATCTTACGTGAATGTTCCCCTGCTCTCCCTTTTACAGTATGCTATTTGTTCATGAGGATCTCCCCGTTGATTGTAATTCACATTGTGTAATATCAAAGACTGCGATGTTCGACAACTTATTTTTATCGTGTTCCTGTAATGGCCAAGTCTTTGCGCCGTGAGCAGCACTGGCCGAACTGCTGCAGCATATACTCGACTCTTCACAGACAGTCGTATGTCTCGACGGCGCCACAGATGTTTGAAGTTGGCAAACGCCACCCGAGCCTTTTGTATGCGCGCTGACACTTCGTCGGTGATGCGTCCGCCAGGTGAGATATAGCTGCCGAGATAGCAAAACTTGTCTACTCCCTCTACTACTTCCTCAGGCAGGGTGAGGTTGGGGGCTGGATCGACCCAGTCTTGTAGTAGCATTTTACACTTTGTGGGTGCAAATGAGAAAGAGGGTTTTTCGAATGGGGCGCGGCATACTTCGCGGTAACGCATATCGACGAAGGGGTTTTTCTTTGGGAACCCTAACCGGAGCCTTCGACTCAGAAGTCTAACCTACAAGGCAGTGGGGCGTCAATCCGACGCAGGGACGTGAACGAAGCACCCGTGTGGAAGCTTCTACAGACCTGTCACGCAAGACCTTTGAATTTCGGTTAAGTTCGTTGGCGCGTTGGTTGACGGTCCGCTTTTCGGGATCAGCCCTTAGCCTCATGCACCCAATAAGACAAGCAGAACGTGGACAGGACAGCACTTTATTGGCTGGGGGCTGCCCAGCTTGGGTGGGCGGTAGCTGTCCAATGAAGTACCACCGTCATGAGGAAGCTCCAGATACCCCACTCCTACCTCCATCTAACGGGGTTTGACCGGTAAACTTATCCCCGTGGCCAATGCCACAACAACCATGACAATAACAATAACAGGATATAGGTGGATTTAGGTAACAGATGCCAGAGATGGTTCGTGATCATAGACTCTGTTTCACCGGCGTAGAATTTTGAGAAATCAGTTAGTTTGATCGTATATTGAAATGAACCTTACAGTCAACCGCAATTCCCTGACGGTTTTGCTAGAAATAGGGAACACCTCAACCAAATATGTGGAGCACATTGTCGTGCTGAGTCTACTCAGAAGACGAAAAAACTACTGCTATCGATTCTGGAGGATATCTTAGAACCATAATTTTACTACCCGGAGAAAGTGTACGACCGTTTAGAGCCAGATAGGACAAAGACATTTTTTTCCTTGGTGCACATGTTTTTACCCTCAAAATTCTGAATACCATTGATTGTATCCTTCATTGCTGCTTATTTGGATTGAATTATTTTGGCTCTAGTGGATGTCCCTTTCACACATGTGACAGTACTGCCTGATTCAAGGATCTGAATGTGCACACACTGTTACTAATATTCCTGGTTCACCGTTGCGGTTGCATAGTGACATGAAGGGAATACAATAAAAAATATCATCCCTTAGTGAAAGGACAGTTTGTAATGTTGAGCTAAATAAGAACAGATTGAACATCCTAACGACGTGCCTGGACTCTGAAAAATTCTGTCATCAACGTGACAATTGAGTTTATCCAATAGGGCACACGCGAGTGATTTCGCAATGCTCAACAAGGGGTGGGATATTTCAGAGATAGCGAGTGACCTACACTTGATTCTCAT